ACATATCGGGGGTGCAGTCAGAAATTGGTGAGTTAAGTGTCAATTTTTGATGTATTTGTTCACTCTGAATGACTACATTCGAGCTAAAAATATCTCAAAAGTCCCAATTCTCTAGGCCAGAGTCAAAACTGATCAAATTTGTCATCATTTTTCAAATCAGGAGGTTGTTGAATGGAATAAAGTATGAAAAAGTGATGATTTTAGTAAGATTTTGCCAAAAAGTGGGTCAAATTTGTCCAATTTTCTAGTTCACGGTTCAGTGATTTTGGCTAAAAATTGCAATATGCAATAAAATACTCAATTTCTTGACACGATACTGAAAAATGTCACCATCAGGCAGTGGATTTCATGATGTAAATGAAAAACTAGTCAAATTTAAAGGAAAACCATTGGGTTCTTGGAAAAATGACCCCAGGGGTGATGAAGTAGCCATATTTTTCATAATTGCTGTCAGAATATTCTTAAACTGCACAAAACTACTTGAAAAACTCTAGTAAATTGGAAAAACGCAATTTAAAGCCAGAAATCATCCAACCATGTGGCTATTAGGCCAAAATGCCCTAATACGTCACTTCCGCTGAATAGAAAAAAGTAGTATTCAAAAATAAATGTAGTCCCAACACAATTGTGATCATGACGAGTCAGTAAGCTAGTATGTAGGCACAGTTGTAATCTTTTTGCAATGGCAACATGCCATTTCTTCTGAAAATGCGTTTATTTGGGTTATCTGAAGGAAAATTTCGAGTCAAGTGGCGTATTAATTTTGCCTTCATTTTTGTGAATTTCAATTTGTGTCTGCAGAGAGAGGGGGTAGTGTCACAATTGACCAATTATTTCAAAAAGTAGATGATTGGCCCCTATCGAGTTTAGTGTCAAGATGTAGCTTAGACATAGCTTTAGAACCTCAGATAGGCCAGTGAGGCCACATAAATCCATAACTCGAGATAAAAAGTCAGGCGTTTGCCCTTTTGCCCATTGACTAGTATGGTGACGTGAATTAGGGCAGTTTTGCCATTAGTGTAACTTTCGAAAAAACTGTGCTGCGTCAAAATAGCGAACGTTTCTTCATCAAAAAGAAGAACGCAAGGAGCGTTTATCGTTCGCTTTTTATCATTTTTTTCTTTTTGAGGTGCAGACTGAATTAGTAGTACAAACGTGAACATTCTTGTTTCGAGGACCCACTTTAAATGGAATTAGAGGCCTCCGGTATCAATGACTATATGTATGGTGGGTATAATACGATCTGCACTGGAATGTCAATGTCCATATGTTGAAACTTATTGACTCAACAAAAACAAAGACCTTGTTGCTTCTGATTAATTTGCGATAATACATACCACATGGTCCACCCAAGGGAAAGATCAATACCCGGTGATTTCAGCGGGAAGTGGCGTTTCGTTCATTGGATGAGCTGCGCGCGCACGCATAAATGTGATTATCCAATATAATTTAGGGGAGGGCTATTTGAAGCAAGGGAAAGATCAATACCCGGTGATTTCAGCGGGAAGTGGCGTTTCGTTCATTGGATGAGCTGCGCGCGCACGCATAAATGTGATTATCCAATATAATTAGGGGAGGGCTATTTGAAGTAGTTTTTGGTCTCAGGCGCGACCCAGGGCTGTTGTCTTAAGGACATTTCGTTGAAAATGAGCCATTCGGCTGATAATTGGTAAGAGTTTGCGATCTTATAATGTATAACTGTTACTCAGACACATATTTTGACACGATTCTGTTGGAAATAAGCTTTGAACCGAGAGATATTCACGATTGATATGCACATTTTTGATTGTGCCATTGCTTTTCTATTGCACAACCCATGTATTGATAGAAGAAACATTAATAATACAGATTGGTTTACCTTCAATACATGGCAGACACTACATATCGGTATATTAATACCAGTTTGTGCCTTAAATAGTTTTATATTTCCATCCACGGCCTGGAGCCTGGGTGTGTTTGTCTCTTATGTGTATGCTTGTGCATGGACTTCTAATCACTAGCAGAATTTAACATGATGCAAACTCGACATTATAACTCATGCTGTAACATTTTGACTTCGCTGGAAAACAATAGGAATTATTTTTCTTGCCAATCAATCATGAATCACAATCAAAATTTCAGAATGATCAACCAGGCAATGATCCAAATCAAGTTATAACATTATATGATATTCAGCAAGAAGTCCGGTAGAAATACAGAATATTTAAACATCAAAGCTGAAAGTTAAAAGCTAATCTGTCAATTTTCTGTCTGCAAAAGAGCGTCCCAAGCATGAAGAGCGTTTACATTTGACACAATAACAGACTGAGGCCTTGAAATCTAGGATTCCCCAGGAAAATATGACGTCATACTAATTAGCATAAGGATTTCCCTATTGGGGTGGGTCGAGCCTTGTTCGAAAACACAATCCATAAATACATGCTAATTTCTAAGGAGATAGGAAGTGTATAACGTGTTTATCGATTTTGTTTAAAGATTTAATCAATTATCAAATTGTTTAAGTGGATAAAGTGGTCACACTTGCTTCAATTCATAGCGAAATCGACGGATAGAAACTGACCGAATTCCCGATATCCTACCCCGTATTACTGTAGGCTATAAGCACAGTGACCTACAGAGGGCGCTATCACAAACAAGTACTGAACGAACCGATAAATTCCCGGGTATTGTAACGCCCTTGTTTGAAGTAGTTTTTGGTCTCAGGCGCGACCCAGGGCTGTTGTCTTAAGGACATTTCGTTGAAAATGAGCCATTCGGCTGATAATTGGTAAGAGTTTGCGATCTTATAATGTATAACTGTTACTCAGACACATATTTTGACACGATTCTGTTGGAAATAAGCTTTGAACCGAGAGATATTCACGATTGATATGCACATTTTTGATTGTGCCATTGCTTTTCTATTGCACAACCCATGTATTGATAGAAGAAACATTAATAATACAGATTGGTTTACCTTCAATACATGGCAGACACTACATATCGGTCTATTAATACCAGTTTGTGCCTTAAATAGTTTTATATTTCCATCCACGGCCTGGAGCCTGGGTGTGTTTGTCTCTTATGTGTATGCTTGTGCATGGACTTCTAATCACTAGCAGAATTTAACATGATGCAAACTCGACATTATAACTCATGCTGTAACATTTTGACTTCGCTGGAAAACAATAGGAATTATTTTTCTTGCCAATCAATCATGAATCACAATCAAAATTTCAGAATGATCAATCAGGCAATGATCCAAATCAAGTTATAACATTATATGATATTCAGCAAGAAGTCCGGTAGAAATACAGAATATTTAAACATCAAAGCTGAAAGTTAAAAGCTAATCTGTCAATTTTCTGTCTGCAAAAGAGCGTCCCAAGAGCGTTTACATTTGACACAATAACAGACTGAGGCCTTGAAATCTAGGATTCCCCAGGAAAATATGACGTCATACTAATTAGCATAAGGATTTCCCTATTGGGGTGGGTCGAGCCTTGTTCGAAAACACAATCCATAAATACATGCTAATTTCTAAGGAGATAGGAAGTGTATAACGTGTTTATCGATTTTGTTTAAAGATTTAATCAATTATCAAATTGTTTAAGTGGATAAAGTGGTCACACTTGCTTCAATTCATAGCGAAATCGACGGATAGAAACTGACCGAATTCCCGATATCCCACCCCGTATTACTGTAGGCTATAAGCACAGTGACCTACAGAGGGCGCTATCACAAACAAGTACTGGACGAACCGATAAATTCCCGGGTATTGTAACGCCCTTGGTCCACCCGAGATTGTCCATACGTACATGTGCATCATCATTTTGCAGGCCAAATCATTCAAACATTTTAGCTGAGCAACTCACGTGGTCATTTACCTGTAGATGGGTACGGCTACTGCACCTCATATACTTTTAGTCAGTAAAGAATTGCTTATTTTATATGAGTTTTATCGTATAGTTTTGTTCTTAACATGGACAGATGATACTGAATATAAAATATGGCTTGCTTATCCTCACAAATTCGTTGTTGTATAAATCAATGGGTACAAAACATTAAACATGTATTGTTGGCCAAAAGCAAATATTTTCCGAATCAATTTGAACCTCTTAATCATTATTACAAAATATCAAATTATCAGCCTGTTCCTATATAGCCTGTTCCTTTATTTGACAAACGTTTATTTTCGAACTTTGTTTTGGAACTTGGCAGTGGAGATCATTCCTCTGTAGCCGCACATTGAACAAGACCCGTCTAGACATTAGGCCTACTCATTTCCAGCGCTATCATTTTCTAAGTGTAGCGGTTCTGTACTTTTCATGTTGTCACTTGGAATTTCTGTTTCACCAGTTTTCATATTTATTTTCTTAAGTTCATATATCTTTTTTGGAACTTTGTTCATGTTTTCATTCTCTGCACCCAAGATCGGTGATAGCAGAAATATTCGAGGTTTCTTTTTCTTCTTGAATATCTTCTGTAACTTCAAAGGCATTTTTGACCAAGCAGATAGATATCATTTACATGTTTCATCGTTTGTTTGTGTATTTGATTGTTACTAACAGATAAGTTTTACAATTGTTCATGATCAACGTCAAATATGTTCCATTTTGACAGCAAAAGTCCCTGTGGCTCCAGGCTGTTGCTACTTCGTAGAACTCGATTATGCCCTTTAACATCGGTGATGATCAAACGGATTTTTAAACGTCTAAATAATGTATTCATGTATATAAAATCCACTTGAACAACATAGACTCCAAATAAGCTTGCAATTGATAGGTTTCACATATCAGAACACGTGATTACTCATGTAGTTAGTCCTCAAATATCATATCATTTTTTCTGTTTCCATATATTTGGTTTCATTAATAAATTGTTTCTTTTATTGGAGTTTATCACGATGGAAATTGTTTTCAAACATTCATGTAGCCATATCAACAGCATATGATGTCATAGATGGGAAATGAGAATTTGATTTGTATGACGTCATGAATGGCATTGTTTTGTAAGCATATATCACTTGGCAACGGAAGACACAAAAGTAAAAGAGACATAAAGAATGAAGGGTTGCACCCTTGGAGTAGTTAGGAATAATTACATATGAGATTAGGAATAAATCAAAGAACACTATGGTGATTTCGTATCTTTGAAAGGACCATGGTTGCCTTTGCGATAAATATTACAGAAAAGGGAAGGCAAAGATTGGGACAAGTGGCTGCTGGATTCCACGTCCTACTCGCAGTATTTGGAGTGGCGGTTGTGCTTATGGGCGTCTACCTCAGATCCAAAATCGAAGTTCGCTTTGGTGTTCTTGTGGATTACGACCACTATAATTTACTTCCCCATATGTTAATCTCAGTTGGGTGTACCTTGATATTTCTGCATGCTGTTGGCGCTAAAATGTGCTACGATTGCAGCTTCTTCTATACCCGCCAGAGATTCGAGAGTGTCATGGTTCTTTATATGGTTATCATGCTCACCTTCCAGATCATAATTTTAGCCGCTGCCTCCATGTGCTTTAGCCACACACATATGCTGCGTCACTCATTCAACCATGGAATAATAAATTCATTAAAGAACTACAAGAATAGTCTGCATCTTAAGAGGACAATTGATGCACTACATTTAGACTACAATTGCTGCGGCAATGGAAGTTACACTGATTGGTTCAAAGTCTCTTGGATCAGAAATGATTTTCTCGATCTCGAATCTTCACAAGTACAAGCGTAAGTTGCATTAAATAATGACGAAACGGAAAGAATTTTTAAATTTTATATAACATGATCCAACATTTTGATTGTGAACTTCTTATTAACAAAATTCGATCATGCTTAATGTTGCCCATTGTGCCTCTGATTATAGAAAAATGAAGAATAACAAATATTACACGGACGATGTACCATTTAGTTGTTGTGACCCGATGTCTCCTAGGCCTTGTATACATCAAGGTGTTCACAGTTTCAACATGCACCCAAATTACGACAAAACCAAAGTGACACTGTACAAGAATGGGTGCAGTAAACAAATCATGTTATTCTTTGAGAAACTTCTCTCTGTATTTGGACGTTCCATCTTTACATCATCAATTGTAGAGGTAGGCTCTCCACTAAATGCATTGACTATAACTACTACATATATAACCATGCGTCAACGCATTTGAATTCACGCCGTTTCTGAGCCATTCAATATTGAAAATTACATTTAATTCAAACACGTACGTTACAAATTTCTCAGAGTACGTTAATATTTCTCTCTTGATGAACATACACAGCAAAAAAACGAATGAAACCACTCATGATGAGCGTTAATCGACATTATGTACTGTACATTGGAACGTTTTTCTAATTATTCAATTGTCTTTATTATTGCAATTCAATCCACTGAAATTCAAAAATAATTATTTGTGATAACCCTTCAAATGGTCTCAACATTATTCCCATCAATTAAAACATATATACATGGTGATATAGTTATCTCTAGAAGCAAGAAACGTCTCCCTTGGATAATTTAGCTTAACAGACCTCATTTTTCAACGTGCACAATATGTCTCGAAACCTATCGTTTAAAACCATGTATGACTGTTAAATACAGCTCAAACTGATTATTCAGGTGGGTGGAGGACATGTTCAAAAAACCCTTGCATTGAGTAATTAAATGTTGAGCTAGTATATTCATATTTACACAAGTTGTTGAAAATGAATGGTTTTTTGATTTCCTAAAGTATTTAAGATAATACATGACTAACAAAAGAGTTTAGATTCTATCGGGGATATAGATCCTCACAAACTATTCCCATGCATATATCACCATCTACATGTTCATTAAAGCCTCGGCCACATTTACTCTACGCCAGGGGTACGGCAACCGTACGGTACGGCGACCGTAGCTTCCCAAAAATATAGAAAATCTACATCGTATTGATTATCCGTTTATTTTATGTTGCATTCTCTCGGTTTTGGGAAGCTACGACAGCCGTACGGTTGCCGTAGATCAAATGTGACTGAGGCATTAAGCATGTGTTCAGATATGCTATATTCTTTATTATGAGCATTATGTCCATTTTCAGTGGATTGTGTTGTTACAAATGCGGTACCTCCAAACGTCGATATTTACGGCTCGAATGTCGGGAATGGCGCGTGGCAGTGCGCCTGGGTACCTGATGGATGAGTGCCCCTTTCGCTGTTGCGATGGCATTTGTTGTTGTTGTCGTTGCTGTGGTTGCGATGGCCTGTGCTGTATCTTGTATGGCTAGCAAAAAGGGCGTGACTTGGCTTGGAATCCGAAAGAAACAGTTTACTAAGAAAGTGATAGTGATGTAATATATTTAGAAGAAAATACCCACATGGGACCTGTGCCGTACTTGCAATTTCTTTCTGAACTCGGCTTGGTTGTGTAAAAGGGAATCGGAAATAAACAGTTTTCTAAGCAAATGATGAAATATATTTAGAAGAAATTCGGCAAACTCTCACAAGGGACTAGTGCAATATTTGTAATTCCTTTTTGAACGGTTAATGTACAATAAAAGCTGCCCAAGTAATTTCTTCAGGTGTAATGTAGTTGTTGTTTTGTGTTAATAAATTAAACATGAATTGAAGATGCTGCCAATAAATGTTTATAGATCAGTTATCATAAAAAAAACATTATTACAAATAACGGTAGACGACGAATTCAAATTAATTTTGTTTTTTACATTTAAACCTATTTCTCGGACGATTTTCAGTTAGCCGAGGTTTAGAATTTCCAGCTATATCACACAATATATTACAAGTATACCACATTTCATTATACGATATTATCATTCCCTTTAATTTTATAAAGCTGAACTGAGGCATCTGCTGACATTAAGCCTCTAATGATCTTGACCTCTCTTCAATATCAAAATTAAATTTGATGTATATACAAAGTTCACCATAGCAACAGTACATGACGTCATGGCTGGAAAATCAGAATTACATTTGGTCTTATTGTTGTAGTATGTGACGTCACATATGGCATTGCTTTGTAATAATACATCACATGGCAACTGTTTTGTTTGTTATATTTTCGAAAATATACAAGAAGAAGAAACATGAAGAATGTAAAGTAGCAATCACGGAGAAGAAAGACACTATTTAGATTTTAATTTGGATTAAATCTTAAAAGCATTTTGATGAATGAGTAACTTTGGAGAAACATGGCTGTCCTGGCTATACAATTTACAGAAAGAGGGAGGCAAACATTGGGACAAGTGGCTGCTGGATTTCATGCCTCCCTCGCAGTATTTGGAGTGGCGGTTGTGCTCATGGGCCTTTACTTAGGATCCAAAATCGAAGTCCGTATAAATATTCTTTTGTTTTACGACCACTATAATTTACTTCCCCATATGCTTATCTCAGTTGGGACTATATTGATATTTTTCCATATCGTCGGCGCAAAAATCTGCTATGATTGCAGCTTCTACGATACCCGCCAGAGATTCGAGAGTGTCATGGTCCTTTATATGGTTATCATGCTCACCGTCCAAATCATCATTATATCCGCGGCGTCCATGTGCTTTAGCCACACACATATGTTGCGTCACTCATTCAACCATGGGATTATGAAATCGTTGAGGAACTACAAAAATGGCGTGCAAGTGAAAAGAACAATTGATGCATTAAATTTAGAATACAATTGCTGCGGCGTTGGGAATTACACTGATTGGTTTAATATCTCTTGGATCAGTAATGGTTTTCTCGATCTTAAATCTCCTCAAGTACAAGCGTAAGTAAATAAAGACGATACGAAATGATGAATTTATAAAACTACAAACTACATTCCAAAAAAACATAACCTTTCAATCCCGGGCTTTCAATTTGGCTTTTTTCTTCTTACATTCAAAATTCTGCTATGCTTAATACATTACTAGATGCCCATTGTTATTATCAAAATTCTATCCTGCTTAATGTTACCCATTGTGCCTCTGATTATAGAAAAATGAAAAATAACCAATATTACACGGACGATGTGCCATTTAGTTGTTGTGACCCGATGTCCCCCAGGCCCTGTATACATCAAGGCGTTCACAGTTTCAACATGCACCCAAACTACAACGAAACCAATGTGACATTGTACAAGAGTGGGTGCAGTATAAAAATCATGTTGTTCTTCGATGACATACTCTCTGGATTCGGTGGCTCAATATTTTCATCGTTGATTGTTGAGGTATACAGTTGGGGACAAAAATAAATGACAGGTCGATTTTCGATCACCATTTCCTAATTATGGTGGTCTGAAAGCCCATAATTTCCAATATTGTCTGGATACATATCCCTTAAAATTTGTATATTTTACATTTTGTATAATCTCATCCACTGATTTATGGCCTCTTGTAAATTCTCTTATTTTTAACATGGGAAATCCTCACTTCAGCAAATCCACCTGTCATTTATTTATGTCCCCAACTGTAGTGTAATTTTCTGAGATATATGAATTTAGAAAACAATATTTAATTCAAAAATGCAGCCTTTAACAAGCTATCGAGTGGGTGGTACATGTGGGATATGGAATTACTAAACGTTGAGGGTACGTTAATAATTCTTACTCGAGGAACATTTATGTCACCACCGATAATTAGTGACATATTAGGGAGTTTAAGCTTGCAATGTTTTTCACTACCTAAACGTGAACGGAAACTATTTAAGCGATGCATTTGTATGGGCGATTGGCCATACAGGTTGGCGTTTCGATTTTATATGCAAGCTTAAACTCTCTTTTGTTAAGCTACAGATCTAGATTTATTGACGGTCGAACGAGACTGTGGCACTTGTTACAGTTTTTTATTAATTAATTTAAAAGATATCAGTTCTAAATATTTACTGTCTTTTTGCAGTGGATTGTGTTAATTCTAATGCGGTACCTTCAATCGTCCATACTCATGGCACGAGAGTTGGGCGAGGCCAAGTGTCGGTCGCCAGGTTACCTGTGTGCTCAGTGTCCCTGTGGTTGTTGCGACGGAAGTCACACCGATCTCAAGAAACTAGAGAAGGTGGAAGAAGAATCCCCGATCAACGATCGACAAATTGAGCACAAATCTGGTCAGTTATATCATTTCTGAACTACGCGTGTAGACATTACGTTGATTTTTGTGCGTGATACGCGTATACCCACTTTATATGGGGCCTTTAAGGAATCCTCAATTTCATGGTATACCCATGGGTTTTTGAAAGCCAATGCTATACCTAACAAGACCCTTTTGTGAATTCGATTTCTGATTTCTAATGTAAAAATCGAAATTCAAATGACTTATGTTTTGAATGCAGTTGAACTTCATGGCTTGAGGGAGGCTTACGTTTTGTGGGTACATAAACCCCCTACTCGTATTACATTCTGCTTTCCTCGGTTGACAAACTTCAGTATAACTTCCGGGTATTGAAAACACGTGTTTTATCCTCAGAGTTACATATGAACAGTTTATATTTCAGAGCTGGCATTATTTCCTCGCATTGGTAATGATGACGAGCCACATAATGATGAAGGTATCAACAATTATTACGATGCTGATGATTATTATAACGGTTCAAAGTGGGAATTAGAATTAGACGAACTAATTAAACTAAGCAGCTTCCATGGAGACAATCGAAAGATTGAACATTCAGAAAAACAAGGATTTGTTCCTGTTCAATAAACCGTTCACACAAATAAACAAAGTAACAAAAACAAATTAAAAAAAATATGATAAAACAATGACAATTTAAACATAAACTTGAAGAAATATAATCATACCTACCACGAGGTCTGACAGTGCAAAAAGTCAAGACAATTAAAAGATATTCTGTTTATTACAAGATCTGCATGTTGGCAATGAACATTCAATTTTATCAGATTGAATTTTGACGCATTCTGGAATTATGTACATAGTACATGTATCCTCAAAGTTCATCTCTAAACGTTCTACTACATGTTACTTTCTTCGTATACAAACAATAAAACAGGGCTGGACAAGAAGAATATTGAGAGCAGAATATATAATTTCACACCGGAATATCCTGACAACGGTAAAGTCAGATACCGTTGTCACAAATGGCGGACATAACCGTCGCTTCAACTCTTTAATCACTTGGTCCTCATTTCATGGGATTTTATCGTCGCTAATTCTGTGCATGTATTAAGCACTTGTGATGATGTATCATTTGAAATCCCAATTTCTATCAAATTAGGTCTTGACTCGCCACAATATACCGCCTTCGATATCGTCAATGACAACAGAATCTGATTTTGAAATAATTTACAAAGACAACGGCATTTGGTAATACAGTGTCCGTTGTCCCGTATCTCATTTCGATCGGTTATATTTAAGACTTTATTTAGATTATAGAACATTATTAACTGTACTGAATTTGACACTTTGATTGATTGTTGTTCCAGAGGAATTTAGTCTAAATGCTCTATTAAACATAGAGTTTATGAAAATCTAATTGAAGCGAAGGCCATTTGTGACAACGGTATCTGACTTGCGATTCTATAATTTTTTATCGTGTGATCTTAGGCCAATACATTTTATTACCTTATGATCTGTAAAATGAAAGCCTTTTGATTGGCAAGTTCTTGTGCTAGAACGATAAATGATATAAGTAATTGAATGATTTGAAGTGCAATACAGGATATATTGTGCTCGAGAAATTCTGTATTCGCACGAGACGGAGTCGAGTGGCAATACAGAATATCAAGACCACAATATATCCTTATTGCACTTTAAATCATTCTATAACGTTTTTATCCTGTGGCGGTGTGATCTTAAGCCAATACATTTTAATCAGGGGAGAATCACTAGGAAATATTTTCAAAACTTGAAATACGCTTCGAAAAATATTATGTTTATTTTTGGCGTGTTACCGAATATCATAGCTTCTTGTATCATATCAAGATGAAGGAAGGTGTATGGAATATGCTTACATCAATTAAAATATTACATCGAACCGTAGTATTTGGACGGTGAAAATTCGAAAAAATAAAGGTGGTAAGCAAGAGACGTAATCATGTATCAAGCGGTACTAACTTCGACCGTTAATTTGAATTTTTGACCTACCGGATGTTTGAAAATCAAGTATTACGAGTCTCATACTGCACCATTTTTCTTCAAACTTGTTCCATTCAAAGCATAAAAAATCCCTTTCTGTCGGTAGATTCTCTTCAACAGAGTCCCTACTTCCAGCGGCATTTTGGTCCCAAGCTGTAAGAAGGCCTTCAAACAGCTAGGGACCAAAACGCTGCTAGAACGAGGGACTCTTTACAATAAAGTAATGTACCGACAGAGAGACAATTTTGTTTTGCTTATAATGGTATAAGTTTGAAGAAAACGGTGCAGTATGAGACTCGCAATCCTTGATTTTCGAGCATCTGGTCAAAAATTCAAATTAACGGTCGAAGTTAGTACCGCGTGTGTATGTTTAGTTATCTTTAAGCTCTGGCTTTCCTCCACATGTCGGAATGTACTAAAATAGTATTTTACGTGCATAAAAACGGCACCATAGAAACACTGTAAACGACTCTCTTAGGAATGACGTCATTGTTATAAAATAATTAAGAATTCCTTTGTTCTTAGTGTTTTTGTGTATGACGTCATATTTGACAATGCAGAGTAGGTATACAATACATCACATGGAAACCGTTTTGTTTGTTATGTATCGGAAATGTAATAAACACGAAGAAAGATGGCAAGGACAAATAAAACAGAATTAGATTAAATCGCAGGATACAATAATGACCACGTAACTTTGGAGAAACATGGCTGTCCTGGCCATATTGTTTACAGAAAAGGGGAGGCAAACATTGGGACAAGTGGCTGCTGGATTTCATGCTTTGCTCGCAGTATTTGGAGTGGCGGTTGTACTTATGGGCGTTTACTTAGGATCCAAAATCGAAGTCCGTATTAATATCCTTGTGGATTACGACCACTATAATTTACTTCCCCATATGCTCATCTCAGTTGGTAGTATATTGATATTTCTGCATATCATCGGCGCTAAAATCTGCTATGATTGTGGCTTCTACGACACCCGCTCGAGATTTGAGAGTGTCATGGTCCTTTACATGGTAATCATGCTCACCTTTCAAATCATTATCATATCTGCGGGGTCCATGTGCTTTAGTCACACGCATATGTTACGTCACTCATTCAACCATGGAATAATGAAATCATCGAAGAACTACAAGAATAGTCTGCAAGTTAAAAGAACAATTGATACGTTAAATTTAGAATACAAGTGCTGCGGCGTTGGAAATTACACTGATTGGTTCAAGATCTCTTGGATCAATAACGAATTTCTCGATCTCGATTCTACACGAGTGCTAGAGTAAGTTCGATTTGATTACGTAATAGACATATTTTGCAACTCACTTAATCAGCGTTTGATTACGTCATCATTTATTGCGTAGCCCTATACTCCATTGGTGTGATATTCTTATGAATTGTCGTCTATACGCCGTAAAAATACCCCGTTTATGGACGTATAGAGCTGCGCAATAAATTATGACGTAACCAAACGCTTCATAGATCATACGCTATATGGGAAATAATAAACATGCTATAAGTGAGTTGTGAAATCTCTCCAATAACCCATCTTTTTTGCTGCGGTCTTCTCATGGTCAAAACACATGCTTAATGTCATATTTAATGTTGCCCCTTGTGCTTCTGGTTATAGGAAAATGAAGAATAATCAATATTACACGGACGATGTACCATTTAGTTGTTGTGATCCGTCGTCTCCCAGGGCATGTATACATCACGGCGTACACAGTTTCAACAGACACCCAAATTACAACCAAACCGAGGTGACATTGTACAAGAAAGGGTGCAGTATACAAATCATGCTATTCTTCGAAAGAATTCTCTCTGGATTTGGCGGTGGCCTCTTTTCATCTTTAATAGCTGAGGTATTTCGAATTCTCTTGGGCTTTTTTAATTTTTATTAGTCAGTGTGTTTTGGGTGCAATTATTGAAAAACTTGTGTTCATATCAATCACTTATATAAAGGCGCTGCAATGTCCAAATGCAACTGAACGGGGAAAGGATCGCCCATTTTAATTTTTCAAAAGATGTCATTAAAATCACAAAATATTTGCATTCGATAAAGTTGAACAATTGAATATATAGGACAAACGTGTTCAATATGATATAGTTTTTGAAAATATCTTTGATCTATAAGTATATAGGCTATAGGATCTATATTGTTTTGATTACTCTGAGGACGATCGCCTTCGAACACAAGCATCACAAGGGGTTACTAAACCAAATTCCATTAATATGATGATATTCTACGTGACAGTTATAAGAAACCGAATGAATCATATGATATACAATCAATAATCACAATATTTGACCACTATAAGTTTTTTTGTTTGTGGTTTCTCATGAGTCTAAATGTTATGCCATGTCCATTTTAGTGGATTGTGTTGATTCTCATGCGATATCTCCAATCGTCCATACTCATGGCACGAGAGTGGGGCGAGGCCAAGTGTCGGTCGCCTGGTTACCTGTGTGCTCAGTGCCCCTGTGGTTGTTGCGACGGGGGTCACACCGATCTCGAGAAACCAGAGAATGTTGAAGTGGAATCACCGTACGATCAGAAAATTGACCGCGAAGCAGGTGACTGTTGTTGTGAATCCAATGATCACTTTTCAGTATTAATTTAGTATTCAGTAATAACATATTTCAGTTGACTTTGTAATGATCAAAACAAAGTTAACCATTTACGAAATCAAAAGCTTTTGACCAATGTACACTTCCCTTTTTGACTATTGGGGGTCCACTTTCGGACCACTCTTTCAAAGTATGTTTATGTTTTGTAATTCTGAAAAATCATCAAAGTCAGAATTTCCTGCCGGCACACAGTGTAATTGAGGAACAAATTAAGAATAAACATAAGCAGATAACATGCTAAACTTATGGAGGGGAGTGTACACCAGGCCGTATGTCAGTTATCATGTTAACTCAATTTGTAAATAATAACGGAATTTGTTTCAGAGATTGGCAATTCTGATGACGAAGATGGCGAATTTGACGACTTTGGTTACGATAATGATGAAGATTATGATGGCTATGAAAATCCAATGCAAAGAGAATATCCGAGAGGACCCTCTCAAGATCAACAAGATCATCAACCCCAACAACAAGCGGATGCGTACCCAGGGGACACGGGAGACACCGATGGAGGTATGTTTGGTGGAATGGAAGATATGGGCGGATGGGGTGCTGGAGGAGGAGGTGGGGGACGGGGAGCTGACCCCAAGCCTGACCAAGGTGGAGGTGGAGGTGGTGGTGGTGCGGAGGGTAATGACCCACAAACATCTGGACAATCGAAAGACCAAAAACAAGCGGACAAACAATCAAAGAAAGACCAAAAACAAGCGGACAAACATGCAAAAAAAGACCAAAAACAAGCGGACAAACAAGCAAAGAAAGAGCAAAAACAAACGAGCAAACAAGATAAGAAAGAGCAGAAACAAACAGAAAAACAAGCAAAGAAAGACAAAAAACAAACAGATAAAAATGCAAAGAAAGACAAAACACAGACAGACAAGCAGGCAAAGAAAGGTAAAAAACAAACAGACAACAAAGCAAAGAAAGGTAAAAAATCGGGTGATGCAAAAGCAAAGAAAGAAAAGAAAGGCAAAAAGAAGGGTGGCAAGACGGATAAAAAATCAAAGAAAGGGGCTAAGAAATCAAAACCCAAGAAAGCAAAGAAACCCCAAAAATCTAAAAAAGCAAAGAAACCTAAAAAACCGAAGAAAGCCAAGAAAAAGAAAGCCAAGAAAAGAAGGAAAAGGAAGTAACCGAGATGTCGAACAAAAATATCATAATTTAAACATTGTTTAACATTAATAATGTACAGTAATAAACATAAATACATATTCAAGTTATGATACAGTATAATTTAGTTTTAAATTCTTTATAAAGATGGCAGCAAGATGAGTTATACCCATTTTCAACAAGTCTTTTTAACAAGTTTTCATGATGTGCTGTGCAACAATAAACATCCATTCAAGTTAATTAAAGAAAACTTAATTGATTGATTTAATTGATTGAGATACATGTACCTATTATATACCGATCTGAGTCATATTGCTCTCCAACAATAATGATGATATTTATCTATCCCTTACAGGGAAACAATCGTCCACACTAAGCAATGACACTCGATCTTCTGCTGCTTCCTGGTGTTTTTCCCTTATTCCTGTTTCATAGTCTTACATGAAACAACTATCTGTCATAGCCTGAGACAGAACTGGAGTGGAGGGGGTGGTGGGGGGCTAGAAGAAGTAGGACGGACTGGTGGCAAAAATATTGAGTAGATTTTCTGATACAACTCCTTTAATTTTTGTTTCGTTATTTTTAAAGAACGTTGAAAATACATTTGTCACCAATAAAAGATGGCGTTTCAGTTTAATGCTACTTGTCAACATTTTAAAATATCATCAGATTCGGATCCTAATGAGTTTTGTCCCTTTTGAAGTTATAAAGCCATGATTCGACAAGTTTTATTTTTTCTACTTGACGTGTGTTTACAAATTGTTTTGAATCATAATTTTGGTTTAAAAAACGCCAGGTGAACGGTCCAGGTTCTCAAAATAATATCTCGCTTTTTGAGGGAAGATTCCATTTTATAATAATTAATATTATCTTATTTTGATATGCGGGTACTTATAAATAGATCCTACTTTTTCTAGATATGCAAGTGTGCGTGTATTTCACTGTGGCATCGGATACGTAAATTACCCTTCTCTTTAGGCGTTCTATTTTGGTGTTGTATGAATGTATGAAAACTTGGTTTGTGCAAACCAATAGAATGCTTGAATGGAACATTTTGTAAACATAACCACAGTACATAACGTCCAAACAAAAATAAAATTGTGGGTACTAATAATTGAAAAAACGCGTGGAAGTGACAAACCGTGACACCTTCACAATAAAATTGACAGTATGTTTTAAATCGATAATTTACCAAACATTTCTTTCATATGGTTCTAGGTAACAGTTCCGTTATTATTGAGCGTTTATTTTTGTACCTAGGTGGTTAACCGGCAGTGCACACCACACCGTGACTAACATCCGGTCTCTAGCAGGTAATTTGAAGGTGGGGTGGGGGCGGGGCTAGGGATAAAGACCAAACAATGCACTCCAGATTGAAGACATTGATTTTCTTTATTTGTTTTGCAAACGTAAGCCTGCATAAAAGCAGTGAATTCAAAAGGCCAACAGCTCGTTAGTTTACTAGGTACAAAAAATATTTAAAATAAAAATATTTCCATATTTCTATTCTATTTTGAGATTTTCAATCCTATAATTAACAGGCTAGACGATATAGATTAAAATAACTATTTTATATAGCTCTATAGTTTCTCGCTTTATTTTTATAACCCTGAGGCTCTTAGTATTTCATGTCGATGAATCTCTCTTTTAACTGAGCGAAATCAAAATGAATATAAGAAAGTGTATAATCTAACAAAAACATAAATCTGAACTAGAAAAACTTTTCAACAATTTATTTTATTTCACACAGACGCGCAAAAGCTCACTATATGTAAGTTCACTTGGGGTAAATTCCATTAGACTGTATGCATAGTGTAACTCTAATGGTTACATAACAGCTAAGTAAAGTGGACTCTAAATATTACTTACTTATTATAGCCCAAAGGAAAATAATTGTCATGACAGTCAATTTCCGATGAAATCCGATGGAAAATGAAAATATTAGCCTTTGAATGAAATATGATTGAAAATCCTTTCCGGCGTGGGAAAATGATTTTTAAAAATTGTTGCCCCTTTTTTTAAATATGAAACCTTTTTTCAATGGCATCCATTTTCATACAATCGCAATGAGTCCTATTTTTGCGAAATTCTCCAGTTCTCCAGGTGCACAACCAAACAAACAAACAAACAAACAAACAACAAGCGATAAGCATGAAACAACAAAGGGTATATGCTCTCGACGTATAAAACGAAATTTTAGTTCTATTTCATCAAATAAGTGGGATCTTATACGAGAAAAATAAAATAAAAATAATAAAATCAATTTAGTATAACAAAATCATTAAGTACAACTTCAATTTATTAAGACATCTGACTTGATATGATATACCCAATAAATTATTTCTGAAATGAATATCGATATCTCAACCTGCTCTGAACTGCAACCCTGACGCCGGAGGCTTGTAGTAATTAATTATCTGTTAATGAAATTTTCTTAAATTTTGAAAACGTGTAAATATGATATGATATGACATGCTTTGATATTTTGATATGATATGCTATGATTTGATATGATATGATACAATATGTGATATGACATAATACAATTGAAATATAATATACCAGTAAACAGAATAAAAATAAAAGAGGATACGCGTATTCTACGTCATCGCAATAGCGGAGCCTCTGATCGTATCGTACAATGTTTTAAAGCAGTATGTTTCCAAAGTATGTTTGTTAATCATGTCAATATGGTCGGTAATTGCAAAACCAGACACAACCATCCATTTGTATAATGGATAATCCCTTTGTACACACGGGACTATTATTTCAATCCAGTTTCTTATTAGTATCAAGAAATTATACTTGTCCACTATATAAAACTACCCCCCTTTCTCTCAAGTGGCCTTTTACGTCTAAAAGCGTTGCGTTCCACTGTAATTATAAAACTAAGAGCGTGTATTGTCATACTCCCAGTACGACGCGAAATCCTTATTTCCGCTCAAGTTAGTTGAACAAAAAATGGCATATGATTTGGAAGAAGTCTCTGGTGGCTATTATAGCATTAAGGAAGATTATAGTCAACTTTTATATCCTAGCGTCGGAAATAATTACGACACTACAATTTAGATATATTCCCTTTCATTGAGATAACTTACGGAAAGACTTGATGTCGTAATAAAACAGTTTAGGGCTGTTTCGTGAGACAGATCCGTAGTGTGATTGATGTATATGTGGAATTACGTATTAATAATCATGCATTGGGTATTGACAAGTGGTCATTATTATATACACAAATAGCAGTGATGGTTTGTTGAATATACGGCCTTTAAGTTGTTATAAAACGGTGGTCCATAATTTTCTTCGATCGTTACATTTGACCCCCTGCAAGGTGAGCTATCTAACCCCCGGAGTGGATGACAATTTAAATTGGATTGCGGAGTGAGGATGCAATTGTGCGGAAAGTTAGCGCTGCGAGAGAAGACTTGGACGTGCACGTGTTCTCTCTTTCTATCTAGTAAGCAATTGTCCCGCTGTGCGATAAAATACACCATTCACCTTATACTATCGCTCATTCAGCTTTCTTAAAGACTGCCAACAACTATCGGCATATTTTGTTAAAACTGTATTCATTAATAAAATGTATTTTCATTTTTAAATTTGAGAGCTGTTTTAATAAGCTCTCCATTGAAAAAGTATGGTATTCCAGTTAGAGCAACCTTGGTTGCCCCCAAGCATTTCAAAACTGTTTAGAATACTGCCAATATCGTGCCCCTTTGTCCGTTGCTTTTCCAAAGAACCCCGTATTCAATACAATACTTTATCAATAAGACTGAATGGGCGATCGACAATTGGTAAAAGTGAGTAATAAATAGATAGCTTTCACTCAATCAATGTAATGCAATTTATGAACGTTAGAAACCATGGTACCTATAGACTTCTATCACCTTATCCTGTAAACGCTCAATCTGTTTCACACCTCTATCGTGTCCCGGGGGAGAATGTACAATAGTGTTGTTAATGTCATTTGAGCTCAATTCAAGTATACTTCATTAACGGGCTGGTAGTATATAGTAGTAACCACCCATTAAAAATTGTCAAAAATACAACAAATTGTTTGCATTATTTCAAAAGTGACATTTTGTAGTTTCACGTAACTGGGATTCAAGGTTGATCTTTGCTGCATTTTCGGATTTAATTTCATCGCTGTCCGTTGGTTTATTTTTGGCGAAGGAAAGCCGTGTCCGGGATGTCATTTATTTTAAGGTGGCTATTATTTGAGAATGGAGGAGAAAGACAAGGGTTGTAAAGTGGGTAGAGAGTGCTTACCTTGCTTTGAGACCATTCTGACACTAATTGACATTTAAGTAATATTCTGGGCTTTACACCTCCCCTTGTTTACTCTAAGATTTCACAAATCTCCACTTGAAATTGTAATACTCATATACATACGGAATCTTATTTTGGCAGCCATTCGATCCCCGTGACAGCTATTTTGTTATGACTGGATTTACTCCGTTAAGTAGCGAGACCAAAGTTAAAGACCCATATCATAGGTCCCTAAAAATCATCTGATCAAATTATATCATCTGCCGTATTGTCGTAGATGTTTTGAATATAAAACAACTTACCAAAGAGAAAATTAAAAGAAGACATGGGGGGACAAGAATAAGATAAGAATAGAATAAGTTGATCTTCAGAGAAGGTACCATTTGCATGCGTTCGACTTCGCTTCTCAGAAGAGAGCTTCGTGTTCGTAGTCTATAACTAGCACAGGGTACCGAGAAGGGGGTCACTCACTTTTCATTTGATACCCTCGGCCTCATTCCATGCATAAGAATTCAAAAGAAGGGTCTCGTGTATATATGACCCACACTCTCCCGGTGAGCAAATAAGACCCCCGCTGGGGAAATAGGACCCCCACTCTACACGTGTGTAAATACTAAATCAGTATTCCCAATAAAAAACATTGAATGTTTATCAGTGCATTTTTCACAAAATGTCGAGATTCACAAAAAGATACACATTAGGTAAACCGAAAGACATGTAAATAAATGAATAGAATATAATACATATGTACATAATAACAATGTCACTTGTGTCTAAACCAAAACGGCTTCTCGCGAAATAACAATACCGAGTGTTAAGTACAACTACCGAAATAAGTAAACATTTATGTTTGTAGAAATTTTTCAAATTCAGGGTAGATATGATGATACTTCATCCCATAAGGGCCCTCTGAATTATTGTTTGACAAATCTGAAGATATTCAGGTACTACTGTTATAATCTGGCCATGTTAAGAGGTTTCAAGAAGTAGAAATTGCACTTGAAATATGTTACTTAATTAGATTTCCCCGGGAGAGAGTTAAGTTGAGTGGTGAAATGACCTAAACAGATTACAACTTCACTTTTTATCTTAATATTCTCTCAAAAGTTCATTATAAGACTATCGTTGAACATTGGAGTGTCTTTACTTTCTGATTAAAATTATTGGGATTTTCGCGGTGGTCACTGTCGCTCTGAATCGGCTTATTTCATTCACCTTTGCCGCTTAGACCAACTCAAGTGCCTTTCGCTCCGCCTCTTCTACTTCAGCCTCTGTTAGTGAAATATTGATACCTTTTTCAATAGGAAATATATATGTTTTAGTATTTAATTGATTTTTGCATGGGTTTTCTTCAAAAGCCAGAGACAGAATTCTATCGGGGTATTTGTTGTTCAAAGAGGGTAGGCATTTCTTTCCTACGTTGACTAGTCATGGCGTTTAGTATACTCGTCTCACTGAACATTGTCGCCAGATTTGAGCATTTTGCTAGAGACCTTCGTTTGCTTAAAAGATCAGTTTTATCATAGAAGCACACGGCGTTTACTATTAAAGCAAACAGCAAATATCCGATAAGTGGGCAGTCCTTACGTTTATCGACAGGCATAATGATACCCAAGTGGTTCGATTTGCGCATGCGTCAGGTGAACAATTGTGCTGATTGGTTGAGATCGTAAGATATACGAGTTAAGAGGTGTACATAGAGGCTAAGGAGACATTTATTATCGTGACATAAGCGCACAAGTGTTAAGACTTCATTATAATAGCAAGCTTATTAAACATAGGGAACATTTAAAACTTTATCAGTAGGGCGGATGATGTCCTGCAGCCCAAAACATACTACACCGTTCTCCGTGACTGATATACTAAGCCCGATCGAGGAGACATACAAGAAAACAAGCATAGAGGCCAGCATACCTCCACTATCTTTCCGACCGACGGGGCAACACAACAGTCAAGTTATGAGCGGGATGGGCTCGATGAGTGTCCCCGTTACGAACCCTTACCACACAAGCTACACGATGCCACCGTCCCTGACGCACCATTCGGCTTACAGCCCGCAGTGCTATCAGAGCCCAGAACTCTCGCATTATGGAGATCCTACCAGGCAGTCGGCTTCAAGCTGGTATGGGACAAACCCATCAGATCCTGCAAGATTTGCAAGTAAGTATCTACGATGTTGCACTCCCGATGGTTCTCAGAGCAGATCGAGATATTTTTCAATGGTCGTCAATGACACTCGTCTAGCTCCAAGGCACGAGTATCTTTTGAGGGGGCTCACGCGTCTTGATATGTTTTGAGGGTCTTTGGAAAGTACTACATGCTCTTTGAGGACCCAAGATTTGATTCTTCAGACTTTTACTGACTTTGAAAAAGTTTTTGATTGCGTATCAGTAACATGAAGTGGAAACGCGATCACAACGCGAGTATATCAAGATTTGTAGATTGTATTGAGATTTACTGTGATTTAGCACTCGAAAGTCAATCACGACTAGTGTTTAATACTTAAAGCAATTAATGATAATTTCACGTAGATCAAGGTAATATTGACTTATAAACAGTTTATAGAACATGTTGGGAAATATCATCAGCCTTGTTTGATACCATTTTCTTTCCATTCAGTAAGTGTCAGGATCAATTTACCCCATCAGGCGCACTTTACCACAAAACGGGGGGCCAAAGTTCGAAAGAGAACACCACCAAAACACAATTCAAACACGTCCATTTTCTTCATAATATTTCAAAATAAATCACCCTAATTATCAATTCGATGATATTCATGTGAATTTACTATCTCATGCAGTAGCTCTGGTTGGCAGTGGTCGCTGATAAGTTCGCGTAATATTTGATAGTTACCCCGGTAGTTTGGTATACTCGAGAAACTTACAATTGCGGATACAAGTTCTCCTTTAGCATTGTTAAAGACATACATATCTTTCTAACTTAAGAATATACTTATCTATCTAAGAGGGCTTTAAAGATACCCATAGATGATACATGTTCAAAAATATTTATTTACCCTTAGAATAACATGTTTTGACCTCACCATAGTGCTAGCAAGAATTTTTATTTTATTTCATAGATTATTTTAAGATATTTGCTAGATACCCTTCGGGTTTAATGCTTTGACTCGCTTGTTATTTCACTTAAAGCACATTTTGATTTTTTAGAAATTTGTTCGTGAAATAATATATACCCTTTTCAACATATAGAGAGAACTACATTTAATAACTGGTTCTTTTCTAAATGCAATTTAGAAATTATGTTTATGTTATAATTTAAACAGGTGAATGTGTTTCCTCGTGCTTTTAAACCGAGATATGTTATCGCATTTTTAGACGGAAAGTACATGTTTAAAATCTTATCTATCAAGTGCTAATCTAACAAAGAAAATTTCATGACACATAAAATATATTATAACGGCGTGTACATATCATCCTTAATTTTTAAAGAACCTATTTTATGTTTTACTAAAGAACGTTTATTTGCACCTATTAGCCAATGTATCATATCCTTTTCTAAGAATAGCCAGATCTGAATTTTTCTAACTTTCCTTGGCATGTTTAGATTCATTTATTTGTGCTTCGCTATCATCAAAATTAGCTCTTCATCATTGAAGTCCATCATATAAAATGTATGTAGCACTGTCGAAAAAACAATACAATTTTATTTTGAATTATCCCTGTCATTTATTTGATGAATCTAAAATTCTCTAAATTTTCCTGGGATTTAATTGGGGACCTACTAGAATAGAACAACAAGAATATAGAAATAGATATAAACAAATAAACAGTAATATATATTAAATAATTTAGACTCTTTCAGTTGTGAAAACATCAGTTTAATCTGGTCTGCCACTAGAAAACTACATTATTCAAGTGACACGCTGACTTGAAACCTTACAAGATACGTTGCTGGTCAAAAATGAACTAGTAGCAATACATTCAACGGTCAAAACATTTTTCTCAAGATCGGATACACGTTTTAATTTGTAAATGAGAAAAATCTTGCTTTCCCGCTGTTGTATTCATCAGAATATCGATTAAGGCACTTTTTACATAGGTTGCAAATAAAATATTTATAAAAAGTGACATTTTGAGAACTTTGTAACAAAATCACTTCTTGGGTTGTGATTTTTATATAGGATAGCTATTAGATATTTTATTCTGTTGTGATTTTTATATAGGATAGCTATTAGATATTTTATTCTGTTGTGATTTAGTTTTCAACTGTAATACTTGAATTAAATTGTTAATAAAGACTTTTATACCATTCATTTATCCTCTGATGAATTGTGAAAAATATAATAGGATTTTAAAAAATGTTTAAAAGAATAAAGTGACTCTAGTGTCTTGATTCGCAAAGAACACGTGGAACTACCAAGATGACGAAAAGTCAAACTCACTTTAGATTTCTTTGAACTCAGTGCTTTACCGTGTTCAATTTAATGGTTTCTAAAAAGCATTGAGATAAAAAGCAATTGAACAAGAAAATGGTATTTATCCAACAATTGCAGAAATTCCTTACAATATTTTTCATCTAGTTAATTTGTTGTATATTTGTTAAAGTAATGTATAATGTTTGCTATTTGCGAGTTCTGCTCGAGCCCAGGTGTTCAGGATTGAATCGTCTTATTCCAGATGAAAAGCTCCTTACAAAGCGCATTTTATTCCCGATTGCAAAACCGAACGAACCCTGTCACTTAACTTGATCGCGGCCACTGGGAAATTTAAAGGCTATATAGTGGTCTATTGTATCATAAAACCCGCTTAAGACAGACATAAACACTCTTTTTGTAGCTTTAAACTCTTTAACACCTTCACACAATTGGCTTACACATTGTTAAATTATGCATGAACATTTGATTTTTCATGTGTGTTTTATTCACAATAGTTTCATCCTAGGCTAGGTTAGTTCATTAGAGTCCAAGCAGCAAATTAGTTGTTGAATTTTGAGTAATTAGTCAGTTTGCTTTGCGCTTAACCCGTTGTGTTCAGGTGTCCTAGACTAACTACAAATTGGGTGAAAGACAATATTATGAAAACGCGTTAATTTATCATAATTTTATTTGAGTCGTTCTCTAATTTGTATACTTATATGATTGATACTAGGGTAAATAATATCGCCTAACCTAATCCGTCAAATCCGTAAATTCTAAATATATTAAATACATATGGTTTCCACAAGTTATACACACCTGCGAAGGAAATCAGTCATAGGAAAATATTTTAGAAAACATTGACAAGTTTGGATACTTTGTAAAAGAGGCGAATACATCTCTTGATTTGTTTTAACTAAATACCATGACAACAATACGCCGCTGTTGCTATATCACGCAATCACGACATAAAACACCGCGCAAGTGGACCGTAAAATTGAGACTCCCCATCAAGTGGGTTTATCTACCGCGGGAAATAAATAATAAAAAGCATATTAGTAACCATTTTAATTAAAATAAACTATAGTCTGCAATAAATAAATTGTTTTCTATTCTTAAAAAACAAATCCGATTATTTACTAAATAAAATACTGCGCTTATTTATATAATACGCTTAAATGATACGAAGATAATAGGACGATTTACTCATAATAACATTGTTCCATTTATTACTATAGATCGTAATTAATATCATCCTAATTGATAGCCATAATTACTGTTATCTCCTATTATATCAGGATATTTAGTGCAGTGATTAGAGATGATAAAAACCGGATAAATAAGATACATCTGCATGCCTCATCAATTTTTCACCTGTGATGTGATTGATCAGTGGGTGACATCCTCAATAAAATTGTCACATGTTTTGATATTTGTCACACGTTGTCACAAGATGTCAATCATCTTAAGTTCTAAATTATCTTGAACTTCATGATGTATGAAATCTGAATCTTAATAGACAAAGATATTTCAAAATGCATACTTTCTTTAAAGTTGATTTTTATACCTTGGAAATTCAAGTGTCTAATGAGAAACTCATAAAATATGTAATTTTTCTCTTCTGTATTTGAAGTAACATATTATGAATGTTTATAATTATTAGGATGGTTGATTAATTGATTGATTTATTATTCTAATGTCTTTTTTGCAATTGTGTTTTTCAGTCAGTCGATTGATGGGTGCCCAGCCTTCCTCGTGCATGTCATCGATGCCCGGAATGAACCAAATGTCAATGTCGGCCTTGGGGTACGACCACACCAAACACCCGCTACAATACCCATTGACACAGCGTCGTAAACGCCGGGTACTATTTTCTCAGGCGCAAGTATACGAACTAGAACGTCGTTTTAAATCACAAAAATACCTAAGCGCACCAGAAAGAGAACATTTAGCAAATATGATCAATCTTACCCCAACACAGATCAAAATATGGTTCCAAAATCATCGTTACAAACACAAGAGGCAGCAGAAAGACAAGGAAAAGTTGGACGAGCGTGAAAAATCATCAAGCAGTCAGCAAAGTCCGAGGCGGGTCGCTGTACCAGTGTTAGTAAAGGACGGTAAACCGTGTTCCGGCACGAATAATTCGGACTCTTCCCATTCGTCACAACAGCCTCAGACTGGGGCAACGGCAGCCCATACTCCCCAACAGGCGACTCCACCCGAGGTGGACACGAAGCCAATACAAATGACTCAAGCTAATACTCTAGTGAATTCCGTATCCCCGTCAGCTCTAACGAGCCATAGCCAAAGTCTATCTAGTGACTACCTGAACAATTATACTACCCCGGGTCTGAACAACAGTTCGACAACGTCATCCAGTTACCTCCTTAACCAGAGGGCTTGGTAGGCCCAAAAAACTTCATACTTCATGGCTTAGGGACCTCACTCTGGAGACACAAGCACAAAGCAGACTGATAGTCAGACGGACAGACTCGCTATTGAACACAGTGAGTGGATATAATGCTTACTACTTTGGGGGACATTTAACATTACCACCAAAAAACGTTCAGACAATCGAAATATGCAGATTTATCCAAAATGCAATATAAGTTCGTGGTTGTTTCAGCAAAGTGAGGTTGCCTCATATTTATATTATATCAAGTTGAGATACAGGTGCTTCATAATATAGAGAAAATGAGCACAATATTATGAAACTTATAAAACGAAAAATGTTCCACTTTTGTAATACTCAAGACCAGTCTCCTGGTGCAATAATAAAACCACAGACAATGTGATAGATATTTGTAACTGTCGAATTTTAACTCCATAATAGGTTTAAGAGTGACATAATAATTTTAGAAAGTCTTCATTCACGAACATTAACTACCACCTGGAGCAAGGGGTCTCCAGGTATAAAATCCACTTTTGCAGATTCCTGATAAGCCCAGTCAGAAATCTGACCCCCATCCTCATAAGTCAGAAGTTATTACCACTTTAAGAGGTGATAAAACCAAATTTAAATATCATAACTAAACACGGAGACAATCCCTTTATGTCCTAACAACTGAATACATAAAACAATCGTTGTTCATTTTTTAAGCAGGTGCCAAGCGTTTTAACAGATTCAAAAAGTTAGCTATTAAATATTTTGTTGTAAAATTAAGTGTGTAATATGTTAAATTTGAGGAAATATTTTGTAATATAAATGTTTTCAATCTATGTTTGATTTTCGCCAATCTCATTGTTACTCGCCCAAAATAGCTCTTGGTGGTCAAGGATATTTTTCAATTTTTCTTGAAAAAGAAAAAAAAAATTGTGAATTTTTTCTACGTGCAACTACCAAAAAGAATCATCTTCAGCTCATATCATATATTTCATTAAATTCCTCCCAATTTCCTCAGTTGCACGTGGAAAACAATGACCACCATGACGTATTTTGATAAAGGGGGAGACATACGCTTTTGAAGTGGGTCGTTATGTTGAATATTATGTTTTTATGGTATTGACAATAGGGGCATAGATCACCCGCTCAGAATTTTGGTTCTCTATTTATTTACTTACTGCCCATTTTATGTTGAATTGATAAATTTTCTCTTGAAATCAATGTCTACAATAAAATAGTATTGTTAGTATCTCATGAATTCCTGATCATTTTTGAATTTTTTATTTCTTCAATTTTATATATTTCAACAATTGATATCATTATTTAATGTTGTGCATGTTAAATGTTATAATTAGATGAACTATATTAAACTCATAAACAAATTCATGTTTTTATATTTTACTTAATTACTCAAATGAACCACAAGCTTTAACATGGCTACCATTGTGTCAAAGTGCATCTATTTCTTCCTTATTAACAACCGTCAAAAGTATTGTTTGAAAAATGGTAAAATATGGAAATGTGAAATTGCTTGTGATACTTACAAATGGCTTAAAAAGCTGAAAAGTGCATATTTACTCTGTATATTTATGAAAAATATGAGAAAACAGAACGGTGTTAAACTGTTATAAAGACAATTGCATATGATATAAGAATGCAAGTGACAATCAAACCATCGTACAGTTGTAAATATTTTAGAAATGATCATAGAATGCACGTACGGTTCCATTTGTGTATGAATGTACTATTGTACTTTGACCATTATTGTATATATTCCGAGCATAGTCTATCTATGATGTTTCATTGAAATAACTGAAATAAATAATATAAAACTTAATAATTAGTCTTTGGTTAGATCATTAGGTCCATTCTATTTTAGAAGTACCACTATATATGAGATGCTGTTGACTTTCCATTTTGTTAAACCAATGGAAGGCTAAGAATATGAACACTTCAGCAATTTACTCCTTTTGTCAAAATATTCTCAAAAAGTTTTCCAGATGATTTAATAGTTTATACTTTAATATCATTTATTTGCAATATATACGTTTTTTAACCTGAACTCTATTAAGAAAGAATTAAAATCTAGGATTTGCCCCCCCCTCCATATATTGAACATATGTGGAGAGCTATCATGAAACCAAATGCCAAAAATACCGAACAAAAAACAACAAATATGCTATTTTACAATAACTTTAATTCCTAAAAATAGTGACTCAATAGTTGGAAACTCAAAAGGAAATCTTATCAAAACGATGTCGCATGTCAGTATTGGGAACCTGAAATCAAGTAACTCACATATGTCAGATTATAAGTAAAATCAAATAATATTTACTGGTACACCGGTGTATTATTAACAGCGTTGGTGGTATAGGGGTATATTGGCCTATTTTCCTCTCAAATAGACCAACATTTTTCGGGAGCTCACCGTGTTATTTTAATTTCAAAAATATCTCGAAAATATAGTATTTACTAATGAATATATACACGTACCATCTTACTTCGACATATGGAAGAGATAACAACTTTGAAGTCAGATGTGACAGTTCAAAAATAGTATGCCATTAGCCTTGTAGCACACACCTACTCCCACCAACATGCAATCCATACCCTTGTGTCGAAGGTGTGTATGTAGTAGGGAGATTCAAGGGCCCGATGCAAGACTTCCGTAGTATATAATATATTAGTAAATATGCCCTAAATATGACATGATATGCCCGGATGAAGTGAGTCAACATCCGTCATCTGAACATATGTATTACTATGAGAGGAATACATACACGATATAAACACACGAATCGATGAATCGACAGAAAATTGCTGGGTCAACTTGATGAAATTGACATGTTGAATCTAAAGAATCGCAGAATTACCCTAATCACAAATGCGACTTTTGCTACTGAAAAGTTTCCTTGATAAAGAGGAATTAATCGAAAAACAAGGAATTTAGGAGCAGGAATACAGCTCGGGTTTCACCTGTATATAATGAACAAGGAAACCCGGGGAAATATTCTGTCAAAATGTTAATGAATTGTTTGATTCGTTTTCTCCATATGATGATCAGTTGAGTGGGTAGAGCGCAATCATTACCAAGCGTTTGTCGCCTTTCATTGTTTATTTGTTCTTTTTATTGATATTCGACCTTTCTTTTATCTTAGAATCGATCTTACAACTTTAGATCGTGTTCAACATTTGATGCTCTAAAAAGACAATATTTCGCGATTGACCAAAGTAGCAAGTGTGAATTATTCAAAATGTCCGAAATTGGATTTTATTAGAAAATTAGAAAATTGTTTTATGTTTGTGTTATGATTGGCCTTCTATATAAGTTCTGTTTTTAATATATTTAGTTACAAATTCAATATAAATTGTAGAAAGGGCATATTGATTTCATTTCCATTCTATTTCCTTAAAATCTCTCACTTATATTCTAAAATAATCACGTGTATATTGTTTTACTCCAGTGCAATTAGAAGCATGTAGAAGGTATGTTCGTAAACATATCACAATCATTGTTCTGACTTTACAATCGGATATTTTGCATTGCTGTAAACAATTATTTCAAAACGGTGGAACATAAAAACAAGCTTTTCATATCTGGAATAATTGTTAGATTTCTCCAAAATCTATGAATCGATGATTTGAGGAAACGAAAAATAATGACAAATGTAATTGTGTTTGTTTCAATTGAATTTTTCACAAGTGGGAAATTGTACTCTGACACTTTGAGTATTATTTTCGAAATTCTTGGGAACGAAATTGAAACATATGAAGAGAGTATGACTATATATGCAGGAGCTTGTCCGAATTAATTTTTTCATGAGGATTCGGCTATTCGGGTGTGATATAACGACCAACACTGGTTCTTTTTGGTAAATATTTTTTTTATTGAAACTTTATAAATGTTATAAATAATAGTTCCTCCTTTTGAAGCTCCTTAACAACCAAAAAACTCCCCGTTACCATAGCATCCCAAAATTAAAAGAAATCGGTTTTCAATCCTAGTTTCATAACCTCTTGGCCGGAGTCTATCTACTTCAGAAGACAAAAAACACGAGAAATTGATCTTGTAGGCAATTAAATATGATACCGTGTGGAGTTGTATGTTTTTCACAATCAGATCAAACGCACAGTAGCTAAATTGTTTAATTGACCCTCTCCAGGTATAACATATCTTTGAATATGTTTTATATTTTTATTTGCCAAACGAAATACCAAACTGATAAAACATTTTTAAAAAGTGAATTTCTACGTAACATTTGATTTGAATTGTAATTGTATTTGTTTATTTGCCATTAGTTAAATGCGAGCTTCAATCAAAACTGGAACATTTAAGATTTTTAAACTGATATTTATAAATCACATTGATAAAGTCTATTATATAGAACAAATTGATTTTCACCTTTTGTAAACTTTATCAGTTCATCTAAAACAAATACCATGAATTATGTGCTACAATTAACTTAAAAAGCAACAGTAAGATACAATCACTTTTCCTTAAAGGCGTAGTCTCGAAACATGCAAAGTGCAAAGTTCGTCCGATAAATCGTCCAATTAGTGAAAAATCTGAAAGGATAATTAAAGGATATTATTTTAATCATTCCATTTAACAAGGAACTGTTAGTGCACTGGAATAGCTTGTTTAATACGGTGTGAAATAACTGTGTGGAGCTGGAGAAATCAGCCAGTCATCCGATATGATAATTGACAGACTATATAACAAGGCATCATCCCGCAATCAAACAGTCAGCCGAGTCGATGAACATTATGAAAACGAGAGCAGAATAATTGATAATGCCACATTGAAATAATATCTTTCCCATAATGGCCGCGATAATCAGCACGTTGAGGTAGCCATTGTTCAAATGATGTCTTCATTATTTCATATTTGTCGTAATTCATATTTTCATTTGGATACTCGTGCCTTGCTTTTATCTGAAAATAAGACAGGGTTGATTATGCACTCTGATTTCTTATTGGAGCACGTAGGTCCTAAAAATCAGTCAAAATACCGGAAAGCTTGTTTGGTACTACCCTGCGCGCAGAGTCTAGTCATAAACTACCGAAGACGAAGCTCTCTTTTAAGACGTGAAGTCGAACGAATGCAAAGGATAGTTTGGTACATGAGCTTAAATGTAAATGATATATATATATATGTAAAATATTGAATTGTAAGATGCCACTTTTAACTTCATTTAGTTTTTTTTATCTCAATAGATTCTAATTATTTGTATTAAAATTTGAATTTAACCATAGATGAGCCATTGGTCGCATGGACTGATATGGCTTATGGGTGTTTAAACCTTTTTCTAAAACAGCTTTTTTTATTTGATTTTTGATCATAGAAATAATCGAGAAAATCTCCAATCAATTCCATTAGCTTCCTATATTGTAGTAAATGATAATATCGACATGGCAAATGACATTAACTAAGTTTTTCAAGTAAAAGAGAATTTGGTGATTTCTGATTTGATTAGGCAGCACCCCGAGAAAAATACGTGGCAAATTAAGCTTAATGCTAATCTAGCTGGTACTGACAATCTATTAGGCGTCGCTTACTTGCAAAACGCCAAAAGGCAAAAATCTGATTAAATATCATCTCTATCCTTAACAAGCGGTGAAATTAAATGCGATCTTTGAGATTGGATTCGTGAGTAAAGTGAAGAATTTCTCTGAAAGTATACTTAAGTTGCTGAGTGCCATCTGCAATTGACAACCAAAATGAAATAGACGAGTACTATGCTCGAATGAAATTGACATTTGAAAAAGTTCTTGCAAAAACTTTTTCTCGAAAACAACATTTTAAATGTAGATTTCAATACTCTAACAAATAACTGTAAGCATTTATTCAAGATAGAACATTCAGTCAGTAGCTAG